ACCGTGGAAGAAAATCAGTCTTGAAGACGTGAGCTATAATGCAATAATGAAGACAGTTCCCTCTGTGCTTCAGACAGTTTTTGTAGCATCTAGTGTTCAAGAATCAGAGATAACTGTGATGGCTTGTGCCTGCAATCATTATAGCTATGGCACAAGCAGCATGCAAGGCATTTAATGTCAAACTAAGCAGCATCGTGCTGCGAGACAGCAGCAAACAGAGCAGGGCTCACCTGCCTGTCCAGCTGGGTCAGAGCCAGAAAGCAGAGATGTTGCAAAGAAGGTAGGTTGTGTTTGCAATGAGTGCGAGCCACAGAACTTGGGTTGGAGGCCTGCTATGGTCATCTTCAGAACTGGTTTGCTCCTGGAGTAATGGGCTCCTGAGGAGCCTGGCAAACACCCCAAGTAATCATGACCATCTTCTGAGAGGCAAAGGGGAAAAGAAGGAGCGGATGGGCTGAGGCAGGAGCAGGGAAGGTAAAGGGAAACAGAACAGACCTGCACAAATCCTTCAGGAGGATTCCGAATGGACTACAGCCAGCAAAATATTTAGATATAGGCCAGGACAAAAAGATTTCCCCAACCGTTCCTTAGCTCAGCAAGGAATTCCAGCTTCTTTATGATTTGAGGCCTGGAATAGTTCCACATTTTTAAAGAACAGCACTTTATTTGAAGTATTTTGATGAGCTATACAGAAGACAGGTTGCCAGGTAGGTGTTAAAAAGGGATTCTGCTGCTGTCAGTAAAGAACTTCCAAAAATAATGTTATACATATGTATAGAAAACGCATACAGGTATACATCATGGAACACTTAAAGACATTTCTGTTTGAAGGTAATTTCTTCTGGCAAGGCACAGCTCAGCACCGTGCTCTCTGCTCCAGCAGTACAAACACATAACCCAGCATGGCCTTTGCCATGGCTGCAGTCAGGGGTTGTTATTAAATCTTTCCATCAGACACCCAGGCAGAGCAGTAAGCACATGGAAAGGAAGGAAGTGTACTTCTGTATAGGCTCAGTGTATATTTTCTCCATTTTCCAGTATTTCCTTTGCTTTCAACCTCAACATATCAAATGATTGCAAATTGCAAACGTACCAGTTCCAGCTGAGCACAACTGGGGGTGAAATAGCTTTTCTTTGAAGCTACAGCTACAGTCCACTTGAAAAGCTGTAGGGAGAGCCACAGAAACGCACAGAGAGCAGCTGAAATTCTGACCTGGGGATTCAAAGCATTATGATTCATGAAATGAATTTTCAGAGGAGCTCCATAATCCGTTAGGAGAGTAGCCTATGAAAGGGACCTCATTGCTACAGCTAAGATAGTAATCACTAGGTAAATCCGTATTAAAAGGCATCCAGATCAGCAGAAAAACAATACAGACCTGCATAAATATACTTCACAATTTTATATACTTATATGTATTATTGTAACATTTGCTTTCATTGCTTTTCAGATGATCAAGGATCTCAGTACACACTTAGAGTAGAGGAAAAATGTAAGATTAAGATCCAGGGCACAATCCTTTTACATCTTAACTTCTCCCTGGGAAGTGATGGGAGCATCATTGCACCCACCTTGGCTCCTCTATGCATAATGATCTGGGAGCAGCTCTAAGTTTCATTGCTGGGGGCTCAGTTTTAATCTCCCTCAGCCTGTTGCCTGGAACATACCTGGGAGTGCAGTATCCAACAGCTTTGAAAGCAATTTTCTGCTGGCAAGCTGAGGCTTTCTGAATGGCAGAATACAGCTGGAACCCAATCCGGAACCTTCCCCATGCATTTCAGTGTTGCACATAGGAAATTGTGCATGTGTTTGCCTTGCAAGGCAGTGACTGAGCCACAGGCCATCACGGTAGTGGCATGTGAGAATGCATAGTCAGGTGCCTGGGGGTTTACATGTGCAGGCAGCTCTTGTGACCTGATGGGTGAAAACAGAGATCAGAGACCCACAGGGATCCTTATGAAATCAGCTATGCACTGACAATGTCAAAATAAAACACTAATGGGAGAGCTTCAATTCGCTTTTCATAGCTTTTCATTTTTTTCTTTACTCCCCATGCACCATGTGAGCAGTAACCTCTCCAATATTTTTTTATTCATAGTTGGCAACTAGTGATGTACTTCAGTGTTTCAAGTGAAACTGAAGCACATGTCTTTGCTTAATAATCCCCCCATTCATTCCCACAGCCCATAGCTTGCCAGCACTGCTTTGTTCACATTTTAGAATTATGGATGATGTCAAGGCAGCCTTGATTAAAGGCTCAGCTAACTGCTGCTCAGCCGGAAAGTGGCTGAAGTAAACTATTATTTCAGTGAAGCACACAAGCTTGGAGAATGCATATTCTGTAATATTCTTGCTTTGGTATTCATAGTAGAAGAAATCAAGGCTCTTAAGGGCTTTCCCAGGAATGTGAGATTGCCCATAAATGTATCAGACATGCAACATTCACATACTCTTGGAGGGATTTTGGCTCATATTGGTACCTCTCAATAAACATGCTTTCAGTTTCTTCCTTCCTTCCCTCAAGCTTTCCTTTCCAACTTAGAAATTGTAGTCTCCCCAGGGGCAAACAATGAACTAAGTGGAGTTCACACAATGTTTTGAAGTTGGAATCTGCATTGGTCTGACTGTTCTTCTGTTCTAGACATTTAAACAAGAAGAAAACAACTCCCTGCTGGATATATAGCTGGTCTGTTGGATGGAAACTGAAAGACACTGAATCCTGTCAACAGCCAGACCAGGCAGGCAGAAGAAAAGCAATGCTCTGTGCACGCAAGGGCAAATGGCTTTCCAGTGGTGCATGAAGAAAACAAAAAAAGGTGATAGTGTATCTGTAGGTACTGTAGGAGAATTTGGTGTAATCACAAGGAAACACTCAGCATTTTGGCTGAGAGCTGCTCCTCAAACATTGCTTCCTGCTGGCTTGAGAGCTCTGCAGGGAAATCATTGCCTGTACTTCACAGGAATAACTAAAGTTTAAAAAAATGCCAATATTGCATGGTTAGTCGGAAAACAATCTATTGCTTTTGTTTAAAAACATATTTAAATAGATTCTTTTTTCATCTCCTTAGTCTTACATCTGCAACTGTGTTTTGTGGCTGGAGTGGTTGAGACTCCCTTGTCACAGCTCTCCTCTGGACAGATAACAGCCCACGTATCAACAAAGAAAATAGAGCGTCTGGATGATGTGGAACTGCTACAGACACAAATGTCTGTGTTTAGGCTGAGACACTCATTCTGCCCAGAAAACAAAGGGAGAGAAGAGATCAGTTTTTTGGCTCACAGTTTAGTTCTTTTCTGCATGTTTTCCTCGGTCCTCCCACCAACTCCCTCATTGTCTGAGCAGTCCTCAGCATGTGATAACTGTTATCAGGTGAACTCCAGTGACCTTCCTGCTAATTGTTTTTACATGACAGATTAATATTCCCATTGGATATCTTAAAGAACAGATCATAAATCAGAAAAGTCAGGACTGGGAAAAGGCTTTTGGGTCATCCTCTCCACCTCTCCCTGCAATAAGCATTGTAATTAAAAAGAAAAAAGAACAAAAAATGCTATCATTTTTGTAGCCTAATGTGTGATTGTAAAAGAAAATGGAGGTGCTCTGAAGTGCAAATCCTGCAAGTGACTACAGATGAACTACCTGATGGGTTTCCTCATTTATTTACCAGTTATTTCCTTCCAGTTTTTTTACTGCTTCTGTAACCATAAAAAATAACTTTCTGCTGACTGTGATGGTTCTTCTGCTGTGTTCTAGCTTACTCTTACAGTGTTTGCCTCTGACATTCACTGTCTGTTGCAGCATACAGTCATTTGCAGTTTCAGCCCCAGAACACAACAGAAATTCCCAATTCTCCTGTCCACAGTGCCCAGGCAATCACTCACATGTATTCTGTGATGTAGGCACCAGGGGATGATGAATAGTTATTGGTAGCTCAAATAAGACAGCTGTACTGGTAACAATTTTCTAAGCCACTGCCTTCAAGTCCTAGAAAGGCTAGCACTGCTTTAAGAAACAGTTTGAATTACTCCTCTTCACTGCAATTATAGCCAATTCCATTGGTGCAGAATTTGCCTTATGTTATTTCATTAAAGCTACTTCTGTAAAACCAACTAGTTTATAAACTCCAAGCGCCTGGTGCTTTTATCCTTTCTCTGTAGATGCAGATCTAACACTGTTTCTCATTTATTTTGTTTTCATTTACATCCCCTTTTCCATCTGACCACACAAGTTTCTGCCTAATGACAGGTGGGATCTATGTGAAAATTTAAGCAGCTTCTCATCTTTGGTGCAGGATTACTGAAGACTCACAAGTGTCTTGTTGCCAGAAGACCAGTTTTCTACCAGCACAACTTCAGCTCTGCTGCCAAAGAAGGGATGCCCTGACTGTGGGTTAGATAATGTTTGCAGTAGCTAGTGTATTTGGCTAATGAACCTTGGCTAATGCTTTCTTTTTGTTTAAACAAACAAATGCTATTCTCCATGTTCCCTCTGCTCCTGCATCAGCCCCTTAGTCTGTCACCTTGGTACAGCCAGATTGGTTTCCATCAGATGACTTCAGATATTTCTTAGCTCCCTCAGTAGACTAGAACCCAGTGAGTTGGACAGCAAAGGAGGGTTTCTGCTGGCTAGAGCTTTCCTTCAAACGTGGTGCTCTGCTGCAGAGTGAGCCCCAGGCTGCCTCCATGCCTAAGGCACAGGCCCCAGAAGCACACCTAGGCTGCACCACCAGACTGCAGCTTGAACAGCCAAGTGGCAGACCAGGAGACAAGGCTGGCAAACTCAGCTTTCAATCACAGAAGTCGAGAGTACCAGTGCTAGCAAATTAAGCATCATCTGAGAAGCACATTTTGAAGGCAATTCTGTGCTTAAGCTTTTGGTACAAGCTTCTCTCCATGGCACCTAGCCAACGGAGAGAATGGAGCCACTGGCTCCATCCAGAGCCAACGCAGCATTTGTCTCTCCAAATTCTTCTCTTTCCACAGAATCTGGAAGCAGAGAGCCGCTGAACATTTATTGGTCTACTAAATCAGGAGGAGGAGGGATAAGATCGCGTGGATTCAGCCTAGCAACAAGGCAAACATCATAGCTGTCATGCATGAGGACGTTGACGGCCACCACATTCCACTGGTTCTCCCATGTATCTAACTCGAGGATCTCTTTGGTGATGACTTCGTGACGAGCTGAAATGCAGAAGCAACAGCAATCAGAACTGCAGCCAAACAGGATCAAAAAGGTTTGCAACAGTATTATTACTGTTCTCTATAGGGGTGGCAATGAAAAGGTTCTTTGTGGTACCAACAGCTACACTGTCTGAGGAATATGCAAGTTTGTCATAGAATCATTAGGGTTAGAAAAGACTTCTAAGATCATCTAGTCCAACTGCCCATCTACCACCAATATTGCCCACTGAACTATGTCCCTAGGTACAATATCTCCCTGGACACCTCCAGGGACAGTGACTCCACCACCTCCCTGGGCAACCTGTGCCAGTGCATCACCATTCTACAGATTCTTGCTAATGTCCAACCTGAACCTCCCCTGGCACAACTGGAGGCCACACCTTCTTATCCTATCAAAATCAGTGTCATTATATAGCAAACAAGTTGGTGTGGATGGAAACCTATACAGGTTATTCACTATTCATCCTCTGAACAGCAGATAGAAACTTAAGGTTCCCCACCTTGCTAGGAGCATGCAGGTGGCATTTCATTATGCAATCATGTGTCAAATGCTCACTTTAAGATATAGTGCCTATTGTTAATGACATGCCTACATGCACTGCATCATCTTTTCTTTGCCAATAAAGCACGAATATTAAGGCAAGCAGCTTTTTACTAACAAAAGTAATGAAAGCATCACCACACAGCAGAGAACCATAGTTGTCAACCAGCAGAGCTGTATTAAACATCTTGTGAGAAGGTAAAACCTTTCTTTGCTTGAACTCTCCAGCAATGTTGTTATTCAAATCCAAGCTATTTCCTAAAAATAAAAAGCATCTTTTGTTTTTGCCCACTTTTTTATCTTAAGGTTTCTTTCTTGCACAATGTAACCTCAGTCTAAACTTTTCTTACTTTGAGATGAGGACATGCACATGCTTTGCTCTTAGCTTCCTTCTCTTTCTCATGAATCTCTGGACAGATTTTCTAGGAGCCAGGTCTCAAAGATTGACAAGAAGAAATCACATAATAACAGAATTATCAGAGCTGGAAGGGACCTCTAGAGGTCATCTAGCCCAACACCAAATACTTCACTGGTACCGGGGTAGGAACCACCACAGCAAGAAACATTGGATATTCAACACCATTTTGAGTCTTGAAAGGCTTATGACAGAATAAACTGTAAAGGGTCCACACTAAGATCCCCATTCAGATCTTTTCTTTAATTTATTATTATTTTTTATACCACCTCAAACCCAAACCTTATCTAGTGGCTGCATCCCATTATTTGGATACTACCCTTCTGTGGAACTGACAGCAAAAACATTGACAAATGAAAGAAGAACGAAACACAAAAGAGTATCTGCAGGCATATATTGCTTTCTGCATTGGAAACAGACAACAGATGCCCCCAGAGGACAGCATCCTTGCTGTTTACAGCCCCCCATATGGTGTTATGTGGTTTAAGTTCTGAGCAAAATTGGTGCTGATGTTACCATGACGTAGAGCTGTGGGATTTAGACACCCCTAGGGTTCCTCTACAAGTAGTTCCAGGATGCAGGGAAATCACATGAGGAAAAAAAGACTTATTCCACTGTTGGAATTGCTTTCCTCGCTGAACTATTTAGGTGCACGTCTGTGTTTCTGCACATATGCAGGACCTGCAGCGGTTGAGGATCTCTTGGCTTTTTGGAAATTTGTGTCATGCATTTACCTAAGGCTACTCACCACCATTCCCAATCTCTGATCCCTCTCTCACCTGAGAAAGGAGTACAGTACACGTTTCTGTACTGCAGCCCATAAGCATTTTCTCCTTGATTCTATCAGAACTGTGGCAATGTTTTTGTTGGCCTAAGCTCTCCAGGACACTCACAGATCTGTGGGAGATTGCTTGAGGATTAGGATGAGATCTCAGAATTTGGCCTCATCTGAGTAGTCCTTGTTCCATTCCTTTCTTCTCTTCACAGAAAGAGAACCAATAGTCAGGATGGTTTGCTCATGGCACTTGGCACTTTAAGTACAGGAGAATTGGTAGGAAGGCAGCAACCTTCCACAGGATAAGGCAACAAACCTCAAAAATACCCCACAGCACATGAAGAGAAAGCACAACCACACTCCTAAGTGAACAGCACGTGTCAGTACCAAAGAGTTCATGTGTGTCCATATGACCCTGTGACAGGGAGCAGGTTTTTCCTAAGATGCAGCTCTGAAGACAAACAGACCTGGGCTGTGACACAGGAGGCTCCGGTCCCTGGATTTATTATTAGATCATCTCCTTTATGCAATAAATTTGTACGCCTGGATTTTCTTTGGCATATATCATGACAAAAATGAGACAACAGGAGGAAAAGAAATCAAACAGTGGAAGTGTCTGAAACCTTCTGGGTGACTGTGACACTACAGAGAAAATCATAATTAAAACATCAAAGGCAAACTCAGCTGCCCTTCCCTGCAAGCCTCGCTGTGCTTTTCCTGACCCTGGCGACTCACAACCTTTAATGTCCCTTGTTTCCCTTTTTTGTGGGATAATGTAGCTGGTTTTGTTCCCCTCCGCAAATTCTGCTTTCCAACATGTGGACTGTTGGCTTGCTCTTAACCCCTGGGAGATAAAAAGGTTACGGTGCTGGAATAAAGGAAGCAATCACTTCTCCAGTCTTGTCTTGTTTCGTATGAAAGGAAGCAGCACCCTTTGGGCAAGAAGGTTCATGTGAGGAAAAGCACTGCTCACAATATCGTTATGCTTCAAATTATGACACACACCCTTTCTTTTTCGGATGAGAAATGGGCTAAAACACCTCAACTTTGACCCCTTTCCTTCTCCCCTCCCAAACTCCCTTTGTATGGACAGAGGAAAGGTAATTTTTGTCATCAATTCCAGAAGTTGGTCACCATTGATTCCAGACCGTAATGTTGGATTTGTATTTTAATCCCAATAAACTGCTTAAAATTTACCCAGATACAAAGAATCTCACATTCTGCCTCATCTGTTTATCTTATTTGTGTTTGTTTGCTTCTAAGGCAATAGCTTTGCAGCCAATTTTATTTAAAGGAGATAAAGACAGCTACAAAAAGAAATAGGCTGTATTACATGGATTATCCTTTTAAAAAGCCACCCCACAATTCCCTGTCACACATTGCACCATTCTGCATCACTTATCAGGCAGCCGCCTTACCTAAGGAAGGGATTTCATTCCCTTCCAAGTGCTTTCAATCTTTTCTTCCTATGAAATGAGGCTGTATTTTTCTGCACATTATTGTTTAATCACAAGAAGATGAAAATTGTTAAGAATCTTCTTTTACAGTATGCTTTTCAGCATTAAACTCCTTTATATGAGAATCATTCCGGTCGTACAAACCTAAGCCTAATGCTTTCAAAAAAGTATAACAGCACTTATAGCAAAATGGCTTTTTCCTATTTGGGGAAGGAAAAGGCTGTTTTCTCTCTACAAAGGATGTTTTATATTTTGGTATGGCCTGACTTTATTTTATGTTGTGTGCTTTCTCCTTTCTCATGTCATTTGAATAAGGAATAAGTAAATCAGGATGGACCATACTCAGAAAGACCCACACAATGACTGCAGGCAATGTTATAAATATTTGATCTGCCTTTTTTTTTTTTCTCCAAACTTCACTCAATTCGGAGAGGAGGAGCATATTTTCTTCAGAGTATACTACTAATACAGCTCTGGGTTGTTGGGTTTTTTTGTATCTTTCCTGTTAGGAACTGAATATTTGATAGAATTGTTTAAGGATGGAGAAGTATTAAAGAGATAGACATAGAAGAATTAAGCAACATGCTTAACAGGCAGAAAAATCTATAGCTCATAGAGGACTATCAACCACACAGCTATTATTTTGGTAAGTCAATACCAAGAAATTTACCCTATAGACTGTTTGGTGTCCAGAGCACTGAACTCAAAATCATGCTGAATTTTAGTTCACTGGAATTAAACCTATAGCAAGTTTGCTGAAATGTGGTCAAGTTTTAATTCCTCCTTACAAGAGCCTGCTGACATCAATCATTCTATGAGCATTCATTTTATGGAGAAAAATTAAGGAAATACTGAGAGCATGTTCCATAAGGTATGGTGCTTCTGCACGCATCAGTGCAGGGCATAGATAACCAAACTAGCTTTGGACAAGCACACCTGTATCCTAGTCATGGGATAGCCATTGCTGTATGTACATAAGGAAGTTTATTCAAAGCAGGACCAGGTACCTCAGCACGGAACCACACTGAATAATAGGGGTGTATCATAGAATCACAGAATCACCAAGGCTGGAAAAGATCACCCTAACCATCCACCCACCCCCACCATACCTACTGGCTACGTCCCTCAGTGCCACATCTCCATGGTTATTGAACACCTCCAGGGACAGTGCCTCCACCACTCCCTGGGCAGCCTGTGCCAGTGCATCACCACTCTTTTTTGAGAAGAAATTCTTCTTAATATCCAGCCTGAAGTAGTCTTGGTGTCACATCTGCCCTTGTCCATAAGATCTGCCCTGAAACATCCTCACCCAGACTGCTTTCCCGAGCTCCTGCTGATGTCAGTCCTGGCACTTCTCAGGTTGTCTCAGAACCTTTTCCCATCAGCACAGTTCTCTAACATGCTTTCCATGGAAAAAGCACTTGAACATCACAAGGTGCCTGTCAGTCCCCAAAGCCACATACTCAGGGTGCTCTTCCAAAAGATTCCCAGGTCCTCATCACCCAGCAGCCACTCCAGAGCTGCCCTGAAGCAGCTCGGCCTCCAGTGCTAGTTCCTAACTGGTTTTGCATGCCATTATCTGCACCAGAGAGCAGACGGTGATTTTAAACACGTGGGATTAGCCTCTGCTACTTATCTTCCTCGCCACTAATAGCTGCTTTCATAATTACATGATGTAGAGTTAGGTGACTTGGGAATTCACATTTGTGTCACAATGGGAAGAAAGTGCATTTAGATCATTATCTCCAGATGTACTGGTTCCTGATGTGCAGAAGGAAAAAGAGTAAGTTCATCAAGTCTGTGGCCTCCAAT